CGCACGCCACAACTCCAAGGACGTGCGCAGGTTAGACACGGAACGATGGCGTGAGCATGGACCAATCACAAGTGCCACCCCCTCCCTCACCCCCATTTACGTTCCAATGACTCCAGCGCTTCCCATAGGCAACTATGGGGGGTCCTCACACGAACCTTCCGTATCATGAATTGCCTGGATTTTTGTTTTTTCTTCGATGAATTTTTACCCAAGCTAACATGCGCACTTTCCGCGGTCATCCCCTAAGACTATGCCCCCGGCGAAACAAGGAGCAATGCAGGTTAATTTTTCTTCAGTAACTGAGTGGTTGCAGCATGGAATGCTCTTCTCGAAGGGGTTGTCCTCTTCACCTATGTGAAAACCTTTAAGGGCAAACTGGACATGCACCAGTATAACTCACGAGGGAGAGTACTACACACACTTATAACATATATTCATAACGTATACGTATTATACTACTCTTTCTAAGCAAGTAGTCGTATTATATTATTATTTAGACTTTTCGGATTTTCACTTTTCGCTTGCAAGCATGTAATTGGAGTATTTTTCCCCATTTTTCTTTTCTGTCCATGCACTTTTAGCCATCTTGTTACCAATAGGAAGCTCATAGGCATTCCCTCAAAAAATGATACTGATCTCTCAGGAGGCACACTAGGAATGGCGGCAGACACACTGAACCCCTCGCAGATGTGCCGATTTGCAGCGGCAGAATCTCTATGAAACATGAGTCTGGGCTTTTGGCTAGTACCTGTGCAGCCATTACAGTAAATAACTACGTAGGAGAATTAACTCGCACTAGCGTTTCTGCAGTCATATTTCACGCGTTTTATAAAGACTGTACACATTCAGGAGGTTGAGTGGTGGGAGTGAGTGGAAGCCATCGGCCAATCATGTCGAGAAGGAGGCAGATATGCGTGCGTTTACATTTATTGGCTGGTAAGCAACAGGAAAGGCAGCTGCGCGTAGGCGTGTTTTTCACAGAACTCGAAAAAGAATTACCCAGTCTACGACTGATTCGCGTTAATGAAGTGACAATCTGTCGAAGTTTGTTTTATTAATTAGGAGTTGGTTTATCACAAAGATATTTGGATTTTCATAATCGACCGATAATTACCTGTCAATTCGCAGACTTCCACTAAGTATACCGCGCTTGGTAATTCTTTACTTCATACGTTCCAATCCTGCCAGGCTGCCCACTGCCGCCCACTGCCGAGCAACACCAAGATCTTCTACAGCGACCTCGGAAATCCGTGTGAGAAGGGTAACTAGTCCGCGTTGCAGATTGAGTCCTTCGAGGCGTTGAGTGATATTTCGAAAGTCAATTCTTTCAAGTGTGTCTGCCTGATAGTTCCACCGATCCTCGCCAATTTCCTCTACTTTGATGGCATAAAGTCGGTCACAGAGCGCTAAGAATTTCTGGTAGTCCGCATCAGTAATGACATAGTCCTCTTTCAGATCCAGCAGTTCAATATAGTCGTTGAGATCGCTCGTACTGATGAAATCAAACAGGAGATCGCTTGCACTCTTTCGCATCATTGCTGCGACGTCCTGCCTGGCTTTCACCCCATACTCGGAAAACATCTTCTGGTAGATATAGATTCTTTCTTTGCCCACCTTACAGTATTTGTTCAGATAGTCCCTAACCGAGTAACCTTCCAGCTCAGCGAGGCTAAGAGGTAACCGAAAATGGATGGAGGAGTAAACGGCACAGTTAGCCTTCTGGACGTTTTCTGGCAGGATGCGTTTGTGAGCGTCAATGTACTCGAAGGCCAGATTACCCACCATATCGTAGATATCGAGGGCCCAGGGTGGTTTTGACCAGGTTTG